ACAGCTGGTCGGGGATATACCCCTACTATGTCTAGACGATAGGTGCAGGCCCCGGATAGTTTTAGACTTGTAGGAAATGTATGCATATGGATATATACATCCTCTGATGTATGATAATCTCAAGGCTACGTGCACGTTGGTTCTGAATCTATTTGCAGAGCGGTAGCAGCAAAGGACACGGCAGCTGTAGGGTGCCCATGCGCGAGGTGCGAATAGTGTCAGGAGATGCATAAATGGTGCTTTATATATCCACAAATTATAGGCTCAACGTTGGGGTCTTTGTTTTTGATATATATATCCAGTCCACTGATTTGAAACACTTCCGAGGTTAAGTCCGAAATAAATTGTCTTCATCGCCTTGTGCCAAGCCTGTAATCGTTACTTATGTAATCATAAGCTCTATATACATACATATAACATATACTGCGTAATATGTACTAAATTTTATTAAGTATGTAATCATATGAATTTACTCGGGGTTCTCAAACCACGTTCAAGTTCATGAAACTTGGTTGTGAGCACAAGCTACAAACTAAAGCAATACTAGTTATTATTGGTGAGATGCGACCGAGTAAGGGAAGCGAACCCGATGAATTCCATGCATTGTTCTGGGCCGCTTCGGAATTAAAACTTTGGTCAAAGGTTTTCAATACCACGGCGGCCTATAATACCAAAATACTCCAATACCACACATAGTAAATACCAAATAGAAGTATATCCAATATTAGAGCTACTTTATAGCAAGGTACTTAACTAGACAAAGAACAAAGGGATAGAGCGCAAGTAATTTAACATCATGAAGGGGACAAAGCGCAAATGATTGAACATCCAATAAAGAGACAAATAGCAGTTAGTCATGAGTAGTCCAACAAGTACGTGAGTAGGTATTGTGGAATATGTCGCTAGAGCCAATACTGGTAGATAGCAGTTGAACATGAGTTTAAGCTGATTTTATACACTGATTTTGATGCTGTCATCGACCTATTTATTAGCTCGAAGTCGTCACATGTATTGTCTTTGTACTCATATATAACTCGAGCGGTATCCCTAGCTGTCACTGTGAAATGGAATTTTTCACATGCTGACCAATCCTCAATGTTGTCTTTTAAAGCATCGAACGACATATATAACTGTCCTAGTTCTGGTATAGATAAGAGGTTCTGTAGTACCATAGTGTCTGGTGAAGTTCAACAGTCACGATTATTACTCGAGTCATTTAAGCTACCTTTATATCGCCTGTTTATTCCCACTTAGTGGCATCAGGAGGAGGAGGCGGAGGAGTAAATTCAGGACCTCCTTACAGTACGGGAAGTAATTGCTGCCAACCGGTATCTATCTCGAGATACTAGTGCAGGCAGTCATAATATTGATAGCTTTGCGGCCTATCATGAATATCCTTCCTTGAATTTTGTTCACATTGATGTTCGCTATGCTTTTGGTTCTCCAAATGCGGGAACTCGGAACTTGGAGCAGCGTTTCATGAACTTGAAAATGATTTGGGAACCCGTACTGTATACAAGACAACCTAATTTGGCCGAGATGTCGTGGACCAATTAGCTCCTAAAAATGCAGATGGGTGTCGCTAATACACATATACACCCACCAGTGACAGAAAGTTAACTGACATTCACCGTGCACTGCTGCATCAATAGAACCCCAATAAGGATACATGTATATCCGCAACTTCGAACTTCTATCGGTATACAGATGCCTAAGTAGTGAATCCGGATAAGTCGAATAGCATCTAACCCTATATGGAGTCTTTTCGACACCAATAATTCTGCTGCACTAGTCAGCTGAGCAGGAGCAGAGGTGATGTTATATGAGAACCTTTCTAGAAATAGACTCTTCTTACGATACTCATGTTCTCTACGATTAACCGTCATATCAATGAGATTGAGCTGAGAATTACCCACTCTATCCCTCAAGTTCGATGCCGTGATACACTATACACCCAGACTGTTGCCGTCATGGGGTAAGGGTGTGACATCCGTTGCAGATGCTATGGGTAGTAGGCGTGAGTAGAGAAGGTGTTGCGCCACTTCCATGAACATTGAGCTGAGTTTCATAGAATTGTTTCCCAAGTCCAGCCCTTTGCTATTCCTCAGATGTATATGTGGAGGTCAAATACAGTTTCATGCCTGCTAAGTGATTCAGCATGCTATAGTCTAAATTCCCGTTCAGAGTAAAACTGGAGCACATCTATACACAGAAGGATTGCAGGGTTGGATATCCATCTTTGACATGCATTAGTGTGTAGCCGCAGGGCTCAAAAAATGCAATGCTATTAAGCAACTCGGGTTTTGTAAAATATAATTAAACGTGAGAGGCTTTGCAAGTGTGGGCTCAACTTGTTGAACCTTGCAATTAGAGATGTATTTAGATGACCGCAATTCACAGAAAGTTCATGTTAGCTGAATGCGGTACTGAATTTTGGCCTTGGCCCAGGCTCGCTGCGCGCGTAAAACGGCAAGCACTCGCGAGGTATGTAGAATGTTTACTACGCTCACGCCAGGCCCAGCGGCAAAATTTGTTTATTACGTCTCATTCCAGATCGATGTCATTAATGAGCCTAGGTCTTGCTACAACTCTGGTGTTTTCGGGTTTCTTACGAACTTGTTAAAGCCGTTGGAGGAGCGTAATAAGTGCGGAGGCTTAAAGGTTGTGTTGCCGCTGTGCTTTGATAACTTGTAGAAGATTACAATGAATCTGAATATGTTACATAGGTCTAGAGCTAGGTGGAGGGTTCAGTTGAGTTTTGTATAGGACATGGGGGGCTTGCTGGGAGCTCTTTATTATAGTTATGACGCTGCAAATAAACCTGGAGAGTTCCGCAATGATGAGAATCGCAAATCGAGCTCTTAGTAATCTATTGTTATTTCAAAAATATCTAAATCCAAATACCACACGGCGTAGAGAAATGTAAATTCCCCGTTTGCGAAGCCCTTGCTACATACACGACAATCAAATGTTGCCATTACCTCTGCCTTATAATACAAGTCTACTGTCAACCAGAAAATTATAGTACCTGGTTTAGTCTTGTATTGCAGAGACTCTCCGAAATTCGCGCTTCAGTCTCCGCATGCGTCAGCTTTACCCGCAGAAAACCCAACGATAAAAGATACTTGTTATATTTGTACCTACGCCCTGGCAGTTTCTTCGTTTCAATTTCCATGTCGCTGCATGATGATGACGACGGCTCCTCCGGGTTAGGAGGTTCCGCAGGGCCGGTTAACATATGAAGTGTTGTTTGAATACCATCTATGACCTTCGCTGCTTCACCGCAAATATCGAGAAGCACCCAAACCTGTTTGTCCCGCAGCAGTTTGATTTTCTCCAGATATTCTTTCGTTGGGATAGTCTTATGAGGTCGGTGCCAGTCGCATTCTTTTTTCACTTCTTCAGTTAGGGCTTTCTGTTTCTGCTCTATCTGGATAATAGCTCGTGCTGATTTTTTGAGAGACACCCTCAGGAGCGCCCTATCTGAAGGGGTGTTTGGTGTCGACCTCATAATGGAATCGTATGGAGCGGCGTCGGTTTAGGAGGAGTTATCATGGTAATAACGAAGCGTTAGACTTCTAAATTAATGAATTTCCGTTTAACTATGCATCAACTGTGGCCAACATGAAACTTAGTTTAAATAATAAGCAATGGCCAACAAACGGTCATATATCCAAATAATTCGCCTATAGCAGCAAATCGAGTTACTGGTGCTTATTGGGTAGCGGTAGGCATGCATGAGGTGATCTGGTCGTGTACATAGATACAAGACAGGGAGCGGCCCAGGGGCTGGATAATCCTCTCGGGATTCGCTGATTTGTCCTAAGCTCGACAGCTTTAATACGAGTTCTGACCTATAAAAAAGCACATTGAGCTAACCCCCCACATCTATCGTCCGATCGATCAACATAATTCGGATAGGCAGGGCCAGGCGGGGGTTGTTTTGCATACGGCCTAATATAGGATGTTAGGAAGGTAAATCGTATGTTAGAACGCACACGCTTGAGAACATTAAAACCTTCTTAAGGAGTTGGGACACATGGCCCACCATCCGACACTTTACTTTTTTCTATCCTTCGTATAAAGCTTAAGGCCATGGCAAGGCCCAGATGACCCTCCCTAATGAGTTCCTAATTTCCTTTGTCTTTTCCTATTTTCTACATTCACGGAAAGAACTACGACTGGCCAGCAGTTACTAGCGAATCTAAATAAATGACATCACACTCCTATCAGTGCTCTTATTACTTTTACCAGGAGGCTCTTTCGGCTACAGCTTATATTTGCATTATATTAGTCTGTGCCTACGGTAGAATACGCTACGACTACCTATCATATACATAGGCGCGCTTGCATAGTGGTTATTGCTTACATGCACATCATCTTTGATCGCCGGTTTTGATTGCTCATGATAAGAAGTTAGGTAAGTAGTCTAGGTTTCAATTTCTGCGGGGGCGCGGTTTAGACAGCCTCTAACTTTCAGTGATTAATTGAGAGAGACGCTCGAGATAGCCCACATTGCCTAATGGCCACGTAAGTACTAATAAGTCGGTACGATGTCGTCAGAAATTACTCGTTTCGGTTCTATTACTTACTTAAGCCGTTACTAAAGCCTCGTAAGAAGTATGACCTTGTCGCTGGTTGCAATGACGTAATCCGTGCTTTCTGGTTATCGAAGCATGACAATGGCATTGTGTTGTCCACGTCTACACAGCCTGGACGATTTTCCTATCACCGGGCGTACAAGACCATATACCCTTTGAAAAAAGTTGCCAAAACGTAAAAAGAAAGAGGAAATTCATGCAAGTAAACAATATCTCGACTGATAAAATCATGATATCAATCCATCCCTCCCCACATAAACAGGGCACAGACTCTCAGGTGGGAAGATAAATCAGAAAAACTAGAAGCTTAATTGCAAACCATGCAATTGATAATTTGACGTGGTAGAGCTGATACTGTATCACAAATGATTTAATAGTCGTTTTGCATCACAAAACTAAGCCCGTTTGGCGCAATGGTAGCGCGTCGCCCTCCTAATTCGGAGGCTCAGGCTCAGGCTGCGGGTTCGATCCCCGTGATGGGTGTGTGATGTTTTTTTTCCTTTCCTCCTCTTCCAAGTACCTTTTGCGCAGAGACTACAAACTACAATCAGACTAACAACACTACAGGCCGCATGCTGGGGAACTGCGGACCGGCAACAGGGAAATGCATCTATATATGTATTTTATCAAGGCCAGTTCCCAATCGCTGGCCACGTGAAACGTGCGGAAAGCCATCTGTCGTAATGATTTTAAAACGCACAGGAAGACGGCGACTGCGTGACCTTCACCTGCCCTTGCCACGACCTGGGAAGAGCTCGACACACCGGTATGGAAGAAGGAAGAGGAGAGGAGGAAGAGTGGGACGCGGTGGAGGCGTACTTCGCGTATTGTTTTGTTTTGTTTTGTTTTGTTTTTTGTTTTTTACTTTATTTATTTATTATCTTGTACATAGCTCGCGCAGGGTGGACAGAATAACATGACCGACGCTTGAATCCACCCGGGTTTCCGTTGTGGCTCGTCAGTGAAGGTTTGAGCAAGTGGAGGGTTGGGTGGTTGAGCAGGCCTTTTGTTATATATATAAAATAATAGACTCGGTTTCCACTCAATTTGCCTTCATACATTGCCCAAAGTGTACATATTGTGCCATCCCGGAATGGACTGAATTCCGCAATGGACAAGAAAATATATATCAACTAAAATTTTACCAGCAGCGGCAGGATTCCAGGGGTCGAGATCCCTGAGGACCAGTCGACACTTGGGGTCCCAAATTCGTGTTTGACTACCTACGGAGTAGAGTAGCCTAGTGTATTACTGAGCAAAAGCGTAGGCACGAATTAAATCTAACATAGTCTATAGTTTTATGTACCGGCCGCGTATGTGCTCTACTTGATATGTACATATATCAACGCCACATTACGCAGTACCAATACCCCGCTTTGAATACTATAAGGGACTCTACGCCCGGGACCTCTCGGGACTGTTACTAGCGCGGTTTGATGGGTGCATATTTAGGCTGTAGTAACAAGTTGACGTATAAAACAATAACATCAACACCACATATCCTCAATTACCATACCAAGCTCAGAACTTGGCAAGCCACTTTGGAGAAAATATCACTCTGAAAGAGTAGTGCGTGTGGGGGTGAGGCGTGTGCAGGGAAGGAGACTACACATGCTTTGCCCCTCATGGGATTGATGCTATATACAGCACATACACTAAGTATCTAAAGTAGACCAGACCGGGAATCACCATGCATAAAAGCGACTAAAGTAGGCTATATAACGAGAGAACTGGTACCATAACTTCCTGTAATTCTTGCGTAACGTACCCAGGGCCACTAAACATGCATCACTTCACAAAGTCTCCAACGCAATCAAATCACGCACGTCATAACAATTTTTATGTTTCTTTGTTTTTAACACTAAGATGGTCAGGGGTATATCACTTACTTAGCTATATTGCTTTTGGCGATCAGCAGAAGCAAACACTGACGTCTTTATCCGATCCTGGAATTCTAGAACGCACATATCCGAACCAATCTGCAAATGATGCGCAATGGAGTTTTTTTCCCGCATGAATTTAGCAGTATCATACATATCACTAAAATAAAAAGCATTGTTAACATGGGCCTCAGGGAATCTTCAGCGTGGTTATGTGGCCTCAACCTATGGAAGAAAAGTAGCTAAAATGAAATTCTTTGGTGGGAGAAATTGAACCCCGGTCGCCCGCGCTCAATCGTAATGACACCCGGGAATACTCCATGATTCTGCTCTGTAATTACATACTAACATAACTGGGGTTGAGCAGAGATGTGTCCGTCAGACCCTATATATGCATACGCATCGGCTAATCATGCGAAAAACTCTCCTAACTCTCCTAATACATATTTATCTACCGTTCAAAAATGTGGCAACATTTCCGGCCACACCACCGTATCATATGCACCGGTAAGCTCCTCAAACTGGCAAACGCCTCGACTAGAATATTGAAATCATTGTTGCTTCTTATAACTTTTAAGAGTTAACTATAGACTATCTCAGGCTAGTAATACACCTCCTTTATAATATTAAAGAATTTGTCTTTTATATATTATATCATATATAATTTGCTATAATAGTCTATCATTTAGTAGTCAGCTATAATACTAATGTATTCTTCAATTGCTCTCTCTTCTTCTATAATGGACTATGGCTTATTTCTAGCTGCTATAATATAATCTTACCTTGTTCCTGCCAATCTTCAATATTGAGTCCATATATTTCTAGTATATTGATCTATAAAGCTAGTAATAGCTATGCCTAGTACCTGATGATTATGTTATATGACTTTTAAGGGTATTTCTTATACTCGGAGTTGCCTATAATTGAACAAGATTTTTTTTGTGATGTCATAATTCTGGTGATTTAATTAATATAGGTTAGTAGGCAAGTTGATAGAGTATAGCTCTCGTATAAGTTGAGGAGGTTGATAAACAAGGATGTTTTGCAGGCGTGCAACCTACCATGCACATCCTCGCCATGGCTACTGCTATATGCGAGTATTGAAGAAAAAAAAAAATGTGCATCCTTAGGTCGGCGATGGTATGTACTAGCTCTGTGTAATATCAATATTAGCCAGAATTGATCTTTCGCTGGTTAGCTTTTCCTGCAGGAGGCCTCACGGTGAAATCGACCGATTGCGGTGCCTGGGCTGAAAAGCTTGGATAATCGAAGGCCAGCTACGTGGAGTCCGCGGCTTTGCAGCAAATGCATGGGACATGCGCATGTGGGAAGTCTGCGAACTGTCTTATTAAAGACTTAAATACAAGACCAGTTGCACAGAGTGATAGCTTCGTCTGAATATTGGAGGTTAGTGCAGGGTTGCCTGCATAGGTATTTACAGTACTTTATATAGAGTGCATGTATATCAAGTGTGGCTTTTACCTTTTGCTGCCCCTTGCTCCATCAGGTGGTGCCAGGACGCCAGCGGAAAGACATGCGAGTAGAACCCGGGTTTGGGGCTAACAGGTGCCTATGGTACAGACATGCCCTGTCGGCCCACACCTGTGCACCGACCGGGGCCCTCAGAATTACTGGCTCCATTTCGTCCGCAAGGTTGACTCTCCAGCCTGCCCCAACTGCGACCACCCCTCGGAGGACGGTTACCATATCACCTTTGATTGCCCCCATCACCGCCAGCAACGCCAGGAGCTCATCGGGGACGCCAGGACATGGGAGGATTTAGACACACCGATTTGGAGAAAGGAGGAGGGAGAGGAGGAGGAGTGAGATGCGGTAGAGGCATATCTCGCCTACCTCTACCGCCCCCTAGCCGGTCATTAGGAAGGTGCGCATCCGGGTGGCTCGTCATACGACCCTTAAGGTTGTGCATACGAGTACTGAGTTCAAAAAAAAAAAAAAAGAAACTCATGGCCTCCCCAATGGATAACTCAGCGTTGCAACGCACCAAAATCTCATGGCCTCCCCAATGGATAACTCAACTTAGTTGCGTTGTAACGCACCACACTAATACAGATTGGTGAACCGTTCAGATCTGTGCACGATTGGTGGATAGTTCGAACGGTTCAGCAATATGCAACGATTGCTGAACGGAACAGAACATGATCCTCACAAAGGGTTGCGTCTTAGCCCAAATATCCTTGGCCTGTGTTTTTTACCACTGTTAGCAGAGATTTTTTGCACGGATCTCCAAGGATGCTGGATAGATCCTGGGAATCGGGTTAACTTACCGGTCCAGTAGAGGCGTAAAATATGGCAGCCAAAATATGTGGCATCACCAACGAGTGAATCTTTGCCAGGTTCTTCCCTATGTCGGAAAGCACTCTAATACCTGCCTAACTGCGTCGAGAATGTTGCATCGGTGCTGCAAGTCCCTTGCACACTGTCAGTGGTTGAATCTCTTGTAACAAGCATCTATAATGCTGATTCATTGGTAATTCCTCCAGACGTAGCGTTAATGGCTGCTGAGTATGCAGCCAAAGACTCATTAAGCTTCTCTGCTGCCACGAGATCCAATCCGCCCCATACGAATAAAGCGGCACCAGGAACCACGAAAAAGAGACCTAAAATAGTGATTTAGCATATTCATCATGGCAGCCCCAGTAGAGCCAATGTTACAAATGCCCAATATTCATATCAGTACCAAGCTTGGCTGAGACGGGATTGTGAGACCACATACCCGTATACCCCCGAACCACTTAGGCGGCGCAACTATGCACAACTATGAACCGTACCCTACAAGATTCCGGCAGTTCCCGACTAAATCCGCGAATACTTGGAAATTGCTTTGACCGTTCTATATGAGATCACGGATGTTGTCTTGTCTCGAACCATCGATTTTCTCAGGACGCTCGATATGAATTTTAATGGCCTGCAAGTTGGGATAAGTCAAGATTGAGTCCAACCTCGACCACAGAGAAGTTTTCTCTGATTACCCTATATCAATCCCGGCTGATCAGACAAGGCCCCATAATTAATATATAAAAGTATATCGACAGAGTATGCACGACCTCATCCCACTACATGCAATCAGACTACCAGACTACATATAGCTACTAGTTAGATTGCACCTCCAAGCTGCAGTGCCTGCGTGCATCAAGGCAGTTGAGCTCGGTTAGTCCACATAATATTCGCGTGAATATTTGATAATTATACTTATTACGCTTGTCCTCTACACAGTCCCAAGGTGACTATTCCTGAATACCACCCGTTGAGCCCATCAGAGTGGCCTTTATACCACTATAGCCAACCTGCAAATGGTCCGTAGGACTGTTGATGCTCTCAGCCTCAGTCCCTTTGTGTCGGACACTTTCTCGAGTTCGATGGCTGTTTCAAGCACGCCCGAATCGCCGTATGCAGCCTTGCACAATGCGAGGGGCAAATTCGAGACAACACCGCATTCAGTTCCTTTGTTTCCGAAATTGCACCTCTTGTGACAGATCCCATGGATCTTGAAGCTACTTGTCAGCAATCATTGCACCTGCATGGGCAATACCGTACAAATTCCTGCACTGCTGGCCCCAGGTATGGGGCACTTGCTTTCCC